TAGAAGAGCTGCACTTCCAGCAATATGGGGCTGATTGTTCCCTCTCAGTACAGGAGGTAATTCTTCCCATATGTTTCAAACCACAAGAGAGATTTGGGGTCCGTTTATTTTCTGTAATAGCTTTGACTAATGGACATTGATTACACATGGCTGATTTTGAACATTTTGGAAAACTATAGCTGGTTATAAACTATTCTCTGTTCTTCATGAAAATTACTGTGATTTACACAAATGAAGGCCACAGCAGTCATTCCTTTTGTATATACAGCTCGGATGAGTTTTCAGAGCAAGGTATTGAGGAAGTAATTACAAATTGGCAATTGGCTAAAGCTTCCACAGATGTTCCCGTTAACTTGCTTATCCGTAATTCTAAACTGCCTAGATCTGGGGTGCTGGTTCTTCTGCCTTCTTCAGGATTGGTGCTCTGTTTCGTTCTTTGGGGGTTCTTGAAGAACACGTCACTGGAGTTTGGATGTGTGTGGCTTACAATTGTGCAAACTGAGGCAAGAGACGGGCTTAGTATTCTCGCCACAGATGCCTCAAAGGTGCCGACCGAGCAGAGGGACGTGTCCTGCAGTCAGGTCTGTCTCAGTTCTGGGGCAGCCGCGCTCCGACTAGCGCACACGGGGCAAACTCGCCCACCTGGAGCGTGCGTATGTGGGGCCAAGCTTTTAATACTCCCTCTTCAACAGCTTTTTAAAGAAACAAATTGTATTTGGGTTTATAGATAGGCACAACTCTCTCCAGTGTGAGCTCCTGCAGAGGAGACCAGCTCAGGCTGACGTGATGGTTATCGTGGAGTTTTTGCAGGCGTGCCTCGGTTTTGGTGCTGCCAGTCCCTAGTTCTCAGCCTTCTGCCTTCTTCCACTCTTAAATCCGTGTATAGCCAGACTCTAAGCCTTGCCCTCGGTTCTTCCCTGTGTCCTCCTCTGGTTATACGAAAGTGTCGCTTTCTCTGCGCGTGAGCTGGTGTTCACCAGGGGGCAAAGTGTTGAAATCCAGTCTTTTAGCATTGGTTTCTAATCTACAGGTTTGGTTTGAAATTGCAGGTGGCCAATACCCCTTCCAGCCGAAGGCAGCCAGTGCTCATTGACCTGCCAGTTGAACTGCTGCCCTGATAACATGTCCCCCCCCTATACTTTTAATAAAGCCAAAAAAATTAACTTTAATCCTCCATGTTTTAATTTCTGACAATTTAATCTCGTGAGGTAGAAGCTGAAATAGTCAGTACTTCTCTCAAAAGGCCTCCTTCAGTTGCCTCTGTATTGCTTTCTGGGAAGGTGTCATCTGGTCAGATCGACTGCAGAAGAGCGAGGGAAATAGAACTACACCCAGATGCATTGGATTTTTTTTTTCCTCCAGAATAGATCTTGATTCAGTAGTGAATTTAGTTATAAATATTATTAAATATAGTACATACTAGAGCTTCAATAAAATATTTCAACAATTTGGCTTCAGATGGTGCTTTAGAGAATTTAGGTTTTTATTTCTCATCATTATAGTTAAGATTCAGGATATTTATTTCCTCTGCGTAGGTGTATTAGCTGGTGGTATTTTTAAAAAAACTTGTTGATGTTTCCTTAAGCTCCTTTTCTGTGTGTTATTGTTAATTAACAGTCATAAGAAAACAGGCAACATCAAAGCCTCCTGTTCACTATCCACTTAAAACCGTGAATGTGTAAATGTGCGACAGGCTTATGCTAATTTCATATTCTGCTTTAAAGCATGAAAGCTCAATTATTTTCTTTCAAAGGTATTTTTAAGACGTAGACATTTTCTGTTCTGATTTCCTAATGATTTTTTTGTATTGAATGTACAACTGGGAAGTAGCTCAGCATGTGGAAAAGGAAATTATAAAGAAGAAATGGGTTTCTTGAGAAAATTAAAAAGGGAGCTGGTGAACAGCAGGAAGGGTGTAAGTAGGGCAGATCCCAGCCCACCTGTGCACGCAGCCTCTGCATCCACTTCTGGGAAACTTTTCTCTTCAAGTGAGCAGTTGCTGTATTTCTCAGAGTGCAGCGTTCCTCTGCCCCGGCCAGCCGCGCTGCACCAGGAGAAGGTTTGGTTTTGAGGCTGTATAATTTAATTTGACATAAAGCTCAGGAAAACAGGTTCCAGATGCAGGCCTGTGTGTAGTCATAGTTGTCCTGCCTCTCCCCAGCCCCCTCCTATGTGTGAGAGAACAGTTATTGAGACAGTAGAGACTGCAGCTGGCAGATAACGCTTCCTTTTGGTTGGAAAGGAAGGAAAAACTCCTTGCGTAGAGGGTTTTTCTGGTAGGAGAAAAATAATTTCTGTATTTGAAGTAATGCCTTGTAATTTCTAAGGCCAGCCGTTTGATGTTTTAAACCTTTGTGCTAACAGAAAGCTTGAGGAGATAATGACTTGCTGCAGTAACCTTTCGGAGTCAAAATCTTGGCTGGAATTCTAGCTTGGCTCACGGCGAAGGACTCCGCTGCCTTCTAGACTCTGACAAGCGCTCGTGTTACCAGTCAGCTCCCAGGTTTGGCACAGCGGGCTGGGTTTGATCAAGAAGCATTTGAGTAACACCAGAAATGTTTAGAGAAGAGGATTAAGGGACATTAGCAAGACAGTGTGGGAAGTCCCTACTCTGCTGTGCTGCAATGGTTTTGTTTTCTTTTCATCATATTATCTTCTTCTTTTTTTTTTTTCCTTTCTTTTTCTTTCCTTTTTTTTCTAAATTGGGCTGGAGGTTGCTGAGAGGGATCTGCCGCTCTTGCCTGGGCTGGCTTTGATCAGCACCTCTCTGGTGGAAGTCCGGAGCAGACAGACTGCAGTGAGTGATTGTGCTTCACCGAGCTGAAAATTTGGGAGCTAAATTGACTCCCTGTTCTATAGAAGAAAAAAAAAAAAAGTGGGTGCATTTCAATTGACAAGAAAGGAACTAGAAAAGGGGGTAAAAGACTTCCTATAATTTCACCCTGCCCAAATCTCTTGGGAGGGCACTACTGAGAATGAAAGAAGGGTGATGGGGACCGGTCACTCCAGTTCTGAATCATATTTTGCTGAAGAAATCACAAGACATTCCTCAAAGACTTGGTGTAACGCTTTCTGGACATTCCTCAGGTTGGCAGTTAGTGGAGCTTTGAAGGAATGTGGCATGGGGAGAAGAGAAAGGTAACTTGGGACATCACCAGACATGTGCTTTTCACCTCAGATGTGTGTGTGAGAACTGGAAGGAAAGCCCGTAGCCCTCAGGCCTTGCTCCTGTCCCGAAGCGAGGCAAAGCCGTCTCTGACAAGCTGGAGCAAGAGGGCACAGGCTGAGCAGAGGTGCTGTGAGCTCTTTGTTCCTGCAGCCGTGCCCTCCTCTTGGAGCTGGTGCCACCTCCCCTAAGAGGGGAGGACTGCTATACCCGCAAGATTTCTTTTCGTCTTCCTCTCTAGTGTTAATGGTTAATCGGGTAAGACCTTCCCTTTGGTGTGTGTCCACTCACTGGGGTGTACGGATTCGGTGATCCCAGGGGTCTTTTCCAACCTGAATGATTCTGTGACTGTGATTGCTTTTGCCTTGTAAGGTCCATCTAGCTATGAAAGATTAAGCTAGCAAGATTAAGGTTCCTGGGTTTCTGTTTTCAAAAGAGAAACCCTCCTGGTTTTCCGCTGTGCTCCATAGTACGAGAGATGGTGCTGAGCTCAGGAGCAGGATGCACAGAGATTTGAGAGGGTCGAGTCCCTCAACTCAACACCTTCTGGCATGCTAAGCGAAGCTACTCTGCAGTTGTAGTTCACACAGGTTTTATATGAATATTTCTGGGTTGTTGTTTAATCTCCATATCTATTAGAAATAAAATTCTGTGGATTTCTTGCCCTTTTTCTCTTCCCAAGCAAATACAATTAGGAATATGAGCCTAATCCGGCTATTTAAAGTCAGGGAGAGCAGAAATCAGGACTTGGTGGCATAAGCACAGCTTATCTGCATGTGAAAGCAGTTTTGGTTTGTGGTGTGGCTTTTTCTCCTCAGTCTGCTTTGTATTACTTCGTGGTGATAAACATCCCTTAAAGTTGGGGACTTTGCCATCTTCATGTTAAAATAACTTTGCTGTTGATATTTTTGCTGTGTTTTACAGATGTAGCCACTGGAAATTCCAGCTGGTACCTATGAATTTTTCTACATATACACGTAACTGGTCTTCTATGTGCAGTAAATATGCATCTACATGTAAAGACACACTTTTGTTTTTTAATTGTTCATGATGCACTGCACAAGTCAAGTAGCTTCCAAGCTCAGTGAAAAAAACTGTCATGAAACAGCTTGCAGGCGTCTGTACAGCTTCCCCCCCAGGGTTCCAAGCGATGCTCAGTTCCTTTCTGAAATTGTTTTAAAGCTACTTTGGTGGGGAAAACAATTACATAAAGGCCATGTGCTGTGATGAAAACAATAATAAAACACTATAAATAAGAATTTTTACATCAGGAGTCAGGGTGGGATAAAGTCGAATAGTGCTTGTTTTTTAATAACGCTGTTCAGTCACCGCTGGAAATTGGTTGCTTGAATCCTCTGTGTAAAGTAACTATGAAGTTTGGGTGCTCATCCAGCGGTTTTAATAGTCATTGTACAGCGCTCCGGTTCCCCTCAGACTCCCTTTCCAGCCTGAAGCTCAGAACTTTCGTGCTCTCTGCGTAAGTAGAGACAACAGTAACGGGACTGCGTTGTGCCTGCTCACTATGGAACCACATCTTGCTCATCTTTAGACATTTATGCTTTACTTTGGGCCCCACACTTCCATTATCTAAGGATGCTGTTGATTATACTACACCTTGACAGGTGCGAACGTAAGCACCGAGTGTTGGATTGCAAGAACCCCCAGTGTAAAGGAATTGTGATTTTCTGCAGGTTTGGTTGAAGCTCCTGTTTACAAGTGTGCAAATGCACAAGCGAGCACAGAGCTGTCGCTCTGCTCCTACGGGCCAGGCGCGAGGGACTCGTGTTTGATGGATGGAAACGAGATTGCTAAAGATTGATGTATTTCATTGCAGATGTGACGAATATGTCACACAGCTGGACGAAATGCAGCGGCAGCTTGCGGCAGCCGAGGACGAGAAGAAGACCCTGAACTCCTTGCTCCGGATGGCCATCCAGCAGAAACTGGCACTGACCCAGCGCCTGGAACATTTGGAGCTAGACCACGAGCAGTCCAAAAGGGTGCGCACAAAATCCGCCTCCAAAGCTAAGAGCGGTAACCCTAGTGTAAGTCACATTCGGTCCTGCGGGGACAGGTCTGAGGGATCTGTCCTTAACAACCAGGTTTTTTGTAGCGAGAAGTATAAAATCTATTGTGACTAGGACAGGTGTTTAGGGAAACCGTATTATGCATCTTATTTTATGCTGTAACTGTCAGCGTAAATCCCCACTATCTAATGTTGCGGTGAGTTGACTTGTACTAGTATGTTGTTGAACCAGGTAATACAAATTGTATTATGGTGGTCTTAACTGTAACTAATTCGTAAGTGCGGGGATGCTATTAACGAGTTAATAGTGGAAAAGAATTAGCTTTTTCCACGATTAACGTGTATGGGGTTTGCTGTTTATGGTAAGTGTTAAAAAGAGTACACCTGATAGAGTATATCTGGTGCTACTAATCGTAGATTGTACAGCACAAACGGGATCCTTTCTCCAGGGTTGCAGCATACTTCAATAAATGCTTTCGCAGGCAGAAACACACAGAAAACCTTCCTCGTTATTGTGGCTTAAGAAGTGGTGAAAAGCAAATGTTAAAATTAGAGGTAGGTCTTGCAAATGCAGAGCATTTTGAAACTGGGACTTAATTTGCCTGTTGTGGCAGATGTTGAGAACTTGCTGTCCTATCTCCACTGGCCAAAGTCCTGAAGCTTTTCTAGGTTATAAAAAGCTAGAAAAAAATACTTGGTAGGGTACATTATTTACACTCTGCTTCCCTCTCTTCAGAGGGCTAACCAGAAGAAACTTGCACATTTCCATGAAAAATATGCAATATTTACCCCGTCTGATATAAAACCTAAAATTTTAAGAATTGGGATCCTACCTGGTAGGCAGTTCCACTTTAAGAAGTTATGCTGTGGAAAAGTGTCGTGTCCTGAAAGGGTCTTTGTGGTCTCATGTTGCTCGTTGCAAGCCTAACACTTTGGAAATAATCTGTTTTATATATTACTGTGGCCACACGACATGTATGTGTAGAATTAATGTGACTATGGTCTAGGATTGTCAGTCACGAAAGGGTTTTGCTCAGCTTTCAGTATTAATCTAAATAGGATAGTGTTTCGGAGCTCTGACTGTTGTTTTTTTAAACACGCAGAAGATATTGCATTCCTTGTGCAAGCACATATTTTGCAGGGCTCTACATTATAGGCACAGGAAATTGAACCAGATCCTCCTGCTAATAATTACGTATGAAGTAGCTTAGTATACATATTAATCTTTAAAAACAACTAAACCTTTGTCTGCTGTTGAACTTTTAAGGGGCCTTTTTAGCCGCTTAATTACAACGTGTTTGATAATATAAAAGTGTACTTCGTAATTGGTGCCTATCTAAGCGAAAAAGATTGAAAACGTTGCTTCTAAAATTGCGGAAAATTGACGGAGCGCAACAAGGCACGCTTTCTTCTTCAAAGTGCCTAGCCTCGAACTTTTATTTTAATGTAAAGCCCTGCTGGTTTTGTACTCTTCCCAATAATTTTGTACGCCTGTCGTGTTACTAAAAGCAACGCGAGACCGCGCAGTTGTCTGCTTGACGGCGACGTTTTGTAAAGCCATTGATCCCCCCGGTGTGGTCCTGCCTCATCTCACGGCCGTTTCGTAGCGACGATCGGCAGCTCGCTTCCCGCGCGTCGCCGCTCTGCCTATAGTCAGGAGATAGCCCAGTACTAACTGAAGGGAATAAGGAGCACGGCTTGTTTCCCCAGGGCAGGGGAAACCACCTGGGATTTTGCCTTCCCGGGCATTACCCATTGGGGAAAACTTCGAAAATCGTACGGCGAGCCTTTAAACCGGAGCTTCGCTCCGGACGGGCAGCGTCCAAGTGCCGCAGCCCGGCGCCAGAATTGCATTTTTCTACGTTGAGAGGAGGGGAATTAAAAAAAAAAAACCAAACCAAGTGATTTAAGTCTGAGACGTTGCTCAAACGTCACTACTTGAGAAGTTTAAACAAGTGGCGATTCTGGCTTTAGAAACGAGGCCCTGTGCGTCTTATTATTACTTTTTTTTTTTAAGAAAACACTGAATTCTCCTGAATTTGAGCTTTAATATTGCTAAATAGCAGGTTTGATGTTTTAGAAGTGAGACATCTTTTAACAATTTTCAATCCTGCTTTTCTCTTCTTTGCTGCACAATCTTCCAAAAGGCCTTTATTCTTATCATTCCTGCATTAAGTATAACTTAAAAATACTTTGTACAAGCAGGCATTTGAGTGCTGACTTTCTCTGCTCCAATGGAAACAGCTACAGTTTCGCTTCCACTATGGCAGGGAGCTTTAATACAATTTTCACTGCTTCCATGTCTCAGATGGCAGTATTTTTGCAAAATACTAATGGCAAAAAGGTAAATTGGAGAAACTAATCGAATGCATTGTTAGATTTATCAGTCTTGTCTCACACTTTCGGTTCCAAGTATGAACACTTTTGCTGTTAGCCCTGTAGTCTTAGTAGTCGTTTCCATCTTGATTCATTTCTGTGAATCTTAAAAAAAAAATAATTAAAAAGCACCACCCTGACTGCTGTTTGAGCTTGTCGAGGTTATGGTTTAACTTCTTCTAGCACCTGTTATAAAAAGAAATGAGGAATGGTGGTAAGGTGACTTGATCCTGCTGTTTGTGTTCGTAAATAATATTTAAATGGAGTCTTGTAATTATTGATCAACAATTTCTTGAACGGTGTATTTGCTGTACGTCTTTCATATCACTTCCAATGGGTTGGGATGAAGCATGGAAAATTCCTTAAGCCGTCACCTACCTCTGCAAGAGGCTCTTCCTCTGAATGCCGTTCTCTGCATTGGCCTGCATGATAACTGTCCTGCATGTTTCTGGAGAGCCTGAAGCTTCACTCAAAATGTTTCTTGCACATTCACTGCTGTTAACTTGGGCTTGAAAAGCAAAGCTTTATTCAGTACTTGTAAGAAACCTTCTTTCTGCAAAGCTCTTGCTTCCAGGCTAAACCCACACAGCGTTGGTTCGTCAGCTTGGAAAGCATCGGGGAGCTGAAACGGCTGCTTGCACCCCAGTAAGCTAACAGACGCCCTCAACCAACTAACCTGCTTCTGCAGCACATTGGTTTAAGTTTCCAGTTCTTTAATTGAGAAATAAGCACTGATTTTCTTCAATTTTTTTTTTTTTTTTTCCCTTTTCCTAATGCTCTTTTATTTTTCCATTTTTCAGCTGTAGAGTAGTCCCCGGAGAAGGCCTTTCCAACCGTGCAACAGCCTTGCTTAGCCTCTCTCGTTCTGGTTAGCAGGGGTAGCCCGTTGCACAAAGAATGGAAACCACTCACCCCGATCCTAACTTTTGAAACCAACCTTTTCCTAGATACTACCTGAAACTTCCCTTTAATGTCTGAAGCGATAAAACAAACGAGCTTTACCCATAAGTGCTGCTGCAGTAAGAACACTTACAAGTGCTGAAGAAACCTACTTCCAATGTAACCATCACCACGTTAGTTCATGATCCACTAGAAATGTTCGGCTGGGGGAATTTCTTACTTCGTTGCAGATGCTCATGTTTTTTGGGGTTTTTTTATCTGATTGTTAAACCTGTGCACTTTTGATATTTTGATATTTTTTCTTTAGCTTCTTTAATTCCTTACGTAGAAGAGTTTATATAAATGCCGTGGTTTGTGCTCATAGTCTCCAGTTTGGGCTCATGATTTTTGAATTCTCCATCAGGGTGTGGCAGAGATTTGGGGCGGGAGGGGCTCTAGATTGTGATTTGAAAAGAGTTTCAACAAAAAACAGGAGCTCTGCTAAACTGTGTGCTGTGCTTCAGCAGCTTTTTTATTATTATAAGATGTTAAGCTTTATATGTTTAAATTACTGATTTTTTTTTTTTTTTTTACCTGCCATGTTCATTAAGAAATCCAGGGTATTCAAATTCTGGGGTTTTTTTCATATTGTATTATTATTCTTAGGAATAGTTCAATGTAACAAGAAGAAAACTTGACTTTGCTCTGGTTAAAACAGTAATAGGCACTTGAAAAATATTAAATAAGTAGTATTACCTATAAATTCCAGAATTCCTGGGTTTTAGGAAGTTGAAGTATAATTGATTAACAGAATTTTGTACAACTATACCAGTTAAATTCCAAATTGGAATTGTTTTGTTACTTTTTCATTTTATTGTGCCAAATTGTGGTACATTTAGAAAGAAAAATTCTAAAGTTGTCAATGATAGGGTGTTACGTATCAGCGCCTTTCTGTCATTAATTATTGCCAGTAGTGCCTTTAATCATTTTAAGGGAGACTCTTAGGATAGCTTAGTCCAAGTCCTCGTAAGTTTGAAGAAATGGAATGGCTGTTTTGGAATTTGTTCAAGACGTGGAGCAATAAGTGCAAAGTGAACTCCCCTTTCGCACATTTTTAATGCGTAGTCTTACTATAGAGATTATATATTCAAGGAATTGTAAAAAATTCTGTTAGTCAACGATATTTCATCACGCAAATCCTTGCAAATTCAGGGGTATAGAGGGGAAGGAGAGAAAAAAAAAAAAAACCACAACGCGAAAAAAACCTAAACGAACCCGAATACGTTTTGGGAACCAAATGGGCTCGTGTTGAGCAAATGAGCAAAATGCATTAACACGTTGGTGGGAACAGCACAGAGAACGTATCCGGAATATTGATGTCACGTTAGCTCTGTCTGGTGGTGGATGCAGTTATAACCATAGTATTGTTTGCAAACGCGGACAACAAAAGCGTCGGGATCTTCTCTTGCATGTTGTATCTAATCATTGTAATTTCAGGAAACAGAAACAGAGAAGTGCGTCAACAAACCGTGCCCATCTCTCTACTGTTTGTTGAGGCTCACGCGAACAATTAAATTGGTACTTGCTGGGAGGGAGCCTTCCCACTCCTCAAAAACAGTACAAATTGAAATAGTATTGACAGCAGGGAAAAGATTTCTGTTTGCTGGAAGAAAAAAATAAAAACCACACAAAAAAAGCGCATTATTATTCCTAGATGTGGGGACTTATATTTCCATCTTCTGTTACAGTATTGATTCATAAGAAATATTGTCGCATTTAAAATTACTACATTTGTATGTGGGTATTTATTTGAAATGATGTCGAAGTACTGTATTATGTTTTATGTGCATTACCTTTTAGTGGTGGATTGGTCTCCATTTAATGTCATATGCATGTATTCTTGCCAAGTAACCTTTACACAGACCTGAAAAAAAAAAACAAAAAGAAAAAAAAACCCTTTAAGAGAAAATGTGGAAACTTCTTAAAAGTATAACTGTGTGTTAATTGGATAACCTTAGGAGGTATAGAGGGCAAAATGTTACTTCTGAATTAATAAAAAAGTGTTTAATGTAGGAAAGCCATCTGCCTGCGTAAAGGTAGTCACATTGGCAGTATCAATAAAAGAGAAAAAGAACCGCGTGTTCTGCGT